GTGACTGTACACGCATGCTGACTGCACCATGTTTCATTTGGCAAAAGGCTGGACACAATCCAGTATACATCAACGGGAAGATGTTTAGATAAATCATTGTACATCCGCACAATGGAATATTATACAGCTACGTCAAAGGAACAGATGAGGATCACTAGTCCTATCACACTGTAGACTGGGAGGTAAATCAGGACAGGGACTGGGAAGCTTATTGACAATATCTATTATAACTGCAAATGTTTACTTAAGGGTCTTCAACATGGGGGTGCGCTGAGTAAAATATGGAATGTTGTGCAGCTTCAGCAAAGAATAGCTATAGACACACTGTTGAGGGGATAAAACCAAGTTGCACACACACATGTAAATATATATATACCAAAAGGTAGAAACTATATGGATATATAAGGAGATGACTGACAGGTAGGTAGATGGATAGATAAGCAGATAGATGACCAATTGATATCTCTAGACACCCCCGGGGAGAAAGGGAGGAGATTCAGGGGCGTGGGAAGAATGTCAGTGATAACCCTAGTCTTCTCTGTGATGTCCCATTTAGTACAAGAAGAACTTATTCTCATTTGTTTTTGTAATTCAAAGCTCATTTTCCATGTGGTGCATATATAAAGTGGAATGCTACCCAGCCTTCAAAAAGAGGGAATTCTATCATTTGTGACGCCACGGATCAACATGGAGGACCTTATGCCAAGTGAAATAAACCAGGAATGAGAAGACAAGTACCATGCGATCTCACTTATCTGTGTGACCTAAAATAGATAACATAGACATCACAGAAACAGAGAAGGGAATGTTGTTGCCAGAGGAGGGAGAGAGGAAAGGAACAGGAAGATGTTGATGAAAGTTTCAGTAAGACGGGAGGAATACGTTTTTGAGACCTACGGGATAGCATGGTGAGGACAGTTAACTATAATGCATTGCATTTTTCAAAATTGCTAAGAGAGTACATCTCAAATGTTCCCACCATAATAATGAAAAGTATATGAGTGGACAGATGTGTTCATTAGGTGAATTCTATTGTTCCATATTGTACACATATATCATAATATCACATTGTAGTACATAAATATATAAAATTAAAATGTGCCAAATAAAATTGAAAAACAAATTTAAAAATCAACTCATTTTCCAAAGCTCATATTTGAGAAAAAGAAACAACCTCACAGTATATTGTTACTGTGCAGACCTGTGTTGCTTTTAGATACCCCCATGTGTAAGGAAGAAGAGAGTGTGCACATAAACGTGGGCGTCGGGTAGCCGTTTTCTGGAAGGACACACAGGAACCCATTGGCCACAGTCATTACTAGGGTGCAGCTTAAGAAGTAAGCTTATTTCTGTCATAAACTCTTCGGAACACTTTTATTTTTTACCAAGTGCATAATTTTTCCTGATATCC